TATTTAAATCTTAATATTTAGAATCATATATCTTAATATTTAAAGTTACGCATGCGTTAACCTAAGGTTCGACTGCACCTACATCATTTTGGATGAACGTCCGCAAGTTTTAATTTTCTACGGACGTTACACTATCATATACTAAAATGACACATCCTAGAAGGATTAGCAAAGACCCCAACGCAAGGATTAGATGTAAAAGTTTTTCCTTAATCTTTTTATTTTGTTATAAATCTAATCTTGTATTGTTTTTGTAATTCGTTTTATAATAGTTGGGGGAGCCTCACCCCTCCCAACCCGCCCACCAGGCTTCACCCGCCGAACTTCGGAGGGAGTTTCGCCACGCGAATCCCCCCTATCGTGCATACGGAGTCACAATGCATCGGAGTCAGTTCGCTGCGTTATGTCGCTGACAGATTTCCTAACCAAAAAAGTGGTCAATTTTAGCGCTTAATATCTCTGTTCGCGAGGCAGACCGCCGCATTTTTCTACCAGATTCCTTTAAGTGAAACCGCGTCAATTGAGTCCAATTTTGTTGAAATCGGAGGTAACGGATGGTATTCTAAATAAATATCTCGAATAATTGTAAAATTAAAAAAAAAAAATGTAAGTAAAAATGTAAAAATGTAAATGTAATGCATAATCTTCTTAATAAAATCTAATAAAAACAAATCGACTCTAGCGATATCATCTTTATTATTTGTATTAATTCATAGATTCATAAGTCCATTTCGGAAAGACTCGTTTGTACAGATTCATCAACACTGTATCTTGAGATTTTATTTGACCATTAAAGATGCATTTCATATGCCCGTGCATACCTACGAAAAATGCAAAATACGTTATATATCACATAATGAAAATCAGTGTATATAAATCTAAGTAAAATCTAATTACAAAAATCTAATTAAAAAAAAATACATTTGATAATCACATTTATGATCGACTGCTTACCGAGAGGTTCTTTAATGTGCCCCCTACGACCATATTTTGTTCTCAATTGAACCGGCTTAAACCATTCGATGTCCTCGCGATGGAAAAACATGAAACGCACGACCACCGACTTCTTGTTTATTTTATATGGATGACCACTCAATACGACTCGTTTTAGAACAATTCTGTTTGGATTATAAGACAACACGCTACCAGTTGCGACTAATTCCTGATAAAAGAAAAAGAAAAAATAACATTGTCCGTCACACTCGATACAAACGCGCTTTGCTTCGGTTTCGTACGATAAAACACTGATGTGATACTAAACATTAATCGAATACGTACCAACTGACCACTTTTTTTTCAATGTAGCAAAGAATTGGACATGGAGAAAATATAACCGGTGCGTACATACTCGCTACGACGGTACTGTCCGATTGAAGATATCTCTCGTACTAAACCAACAAACTTTGCGATAAACTCTTATTCTGTATAATGTATATATGTGACATTTGTCAAATCCATATAAAACATATATATCAGATACTCATACAGTGCTTCTACTCACCTTATGCTTGATACCATTTGTATGCTGACTGAATATCGGACATGCCGCGAACCGTCTGAATCCACATTGAAATATCAATTTTTCCTTCGATTCGATTGGTCGTGTACTACCCGAATGTTTCAACACGACGTTCAAAAGTGACATTTTCTGTTCGTATGGAAGTAAAACGGTCACTATTAATGGTTTATTTTCTGCCATGGCGAAAGCCTTGAAAGTTTCTCTGCTAACACGGCTGATATAAACTTGTATGTAACACCCTGGCTGAAAGCATACGTAACGTATACGTGCGCGTTCGTCGCGTAAATCGCGAGTTATAAATATTTCGCATAAGATTCACATTGCGACGATCGGATTTTCGATATACGTACCGTGACACCTTTGATATTTTCACGTTCTTTATAAATACGTTTCCGCCTACGATCGTAATCGGCAAATTCGATTATTCGAGAATAATCGGTGGGAAGATTTTCCTTGGGATCCCATGGACTGGTACGAAAAGATTCGAGACCTCGATACTTTTGGAATCTTATCTTAGCCAAAATATCTTGAGGTGTATCCACTTCGTCGGGAAATTGCGCATCCAATTTTGCTTCTGTGCGTTTGTAACAAAATTATTATCGAAATGATGATCGTTTAAACCTTCGAGACGATATAGATACGTATTATTATACTACTACCTTTAAATTTTTCCATGGCTTGTTTTTCCTCGGACATATCGATGTCTTGATCGTAACGCTCTTCGTCCAGCGGTGCTTCTGATATCGTAATAGTTTCGTATTCTTCGTCATCTTCCAAATCTTCGGTGCTGCCTGACTCCGATTTTGCCTCTTCCACGGACATGTTGTCCTCCGATTCGTTCTCTGAACATATGCTTTCTGAAGGAAAAAAAAGTTTTTTGTAAAATAAAAGAATTAAATAAAATTCAATTCATTTCTAGGAGAAAAAAGAGAAAAGGGAAAAAATTAAAAAGAAAAAAATTTACAATACCTCCATCTTCATCTGGTATCCATGCAGCTTGATATTCGGAAGTTCCTTTCGGTACAACTTTTACAATTTTTCTATTTCTATTGACTGCTGCTTCAGCCAATTCTTCTTTCGTAGGCCACGTTTGTTCGGCATTCATTGGATCAGGAATATATTCACTTTCCAGAGATTCCTACAAATTTTAGATAGTATATTTTTATCAATATTTGCCATTAAAAACAAAATAGTCAAATAAGTTAACAATAACTTTAATACATTCTAATATCGCTATGCACTTTTTCCAATAATTTCTCAATTATTCCCTTCCCCTCTCTCTCTCTTTCTCCTCCTGTAGATAGATAGTTAAATAATCGCTTCCAACATTAAGATTAACTCCAACGATATTTACTTATTCGGAAATGCTTTTTCATAGCCATGTCTCATTCAAAAGTAATAAATCATTGATATTGAAATATGAGCGAAAAAAAACCTGTTTCTCTGGATCTGCGGTTAATATCACAGTTTTAAACCTTCCTTCCACTTCCATTTTATTGTCAGAAAGAAATTTCTTTCGTTCGGCGTGTTCGATTAAATATGGATCTTCTGACGTTCTGATGCATGACATTTGAAAATTTCCGAAGCCTGGTATGTGAACCAAATCATTGGCGGATAATGATGTCATACCTCGCAAATATCCACTGACTATGAGAGTTCCGATATCAAGAGAATCCTAATAAATATGTATTCGTTAAATAATATTCAATCAGATTTTCAACACACAATTTTAAATGAAATGGTTTCGCATACTTTGTCGCTTTCAAAAGAAACTTGTTCCGCCAAAAGGTATGATCTTATGTCTCTGTAAAACAAGTTCTTTTGTTTCTGTGACCCGGCACGGCGAAACATATTTAAACAATCGGCTGTAGTATCCAGTTCCAACACTTTTTCTTCGGGAAGCCATTTTGAAATTGCACGTTGCACAGCTTGTTTACATTCCTGACGTTTCTATAATATCATATAAATAATATATCGAATAATAATCGATAAGATAAACAAAACGTTTGTCATTTAGTGTCATATAATGTTATAAACGACAAAAATTAATTTTCTATATTTTCAAAAATTTCCAATGTATGTATTGTTACTTACTTTAATATGAAGACTTGAAATATTGTGTACTGCGACCATGGTAGAAGATAAACCTTGAGCGAGACAAGACATGATAATTTCCCTTCCCCAATCATCTATAACTTCTGCTGGTATGCCATTATTTGCTTGATTCGACGTTACGAAAAGTATTGTATTAGCAACTTTGGCTGCATCTAATGTTGCAAAAACATCATCTATTGGTGGTACGATGATAGAAAATCGTTGCTTAAACTTTGGTATCCTAAATTTATATAAACGTTTGAAAAAAAATAAATTTTTTTCAATATAATTTTCTAAAAAATTTTGTTTTTGCAACATACCCAACGTGTATAATTCCACTTGGACTGGTGGCGATATTAGCATCTTCATCCATACCAGTTATAATAGATAAGATGCTCTTTAAATCTATGTTATTTTGCAACGGTATAATGCAAATAAGGATAGGTGCCGTAAAAAAGCCACCAAAATTTCTCTTTTGTGCTAATATCTGCTCGCGTTTCTTTTTTCTATGCTGCAACAATTGATTTCTACGTGCATCCTTTCCAAGATTTTTCTCAAAACGTTTCGACGACTTTCCGATAATATTTTGTTTATCTATGCGAAAAAAATAAAATATATCCTCGTAAAGGTCAGACAAAAGTATTTTATTTAATACATTGATATATAAAATGGTAGAAAATTTATTACTCCACTCGTACGAATAGTGAAAAAGGCTTAGTATCTATCAAATAAAATAATAAGTGTACTTTTACATTTTCATTAATAAAATTTGTTAATTTTGTACGCGACAAACGTAGTAAAATCTTTATTTACCTTTGAATTCTTTATTAACAGCACTTTTACTGCGATGTCTTCCAGTTTTGTGTTGTTTATTACATTGTTTAAACGCACCCGATCGATGCGTCTCCTGTCTCATTGTATTCATCGTGAGAGCTAAAAACGTTTAAATAAACTTTCCAAAGAGAAATAAGATTAACATCGATCGCTACATACCATACCATGCGGTCACATGCGACAGCCAAAATGGAGAATCAGGGTTCACAAATTTATAGAGTTTTCTACTGATAAAAAACTGCTGCACTAGTGCTGTACTACATTTTTATGAAAACTATACAATAACGATAGTTTAGTTGATCAAGTTATTTCTCTTGACATTAAATGTACAGAAAAAAATTATATTTAATTAAAAAAAAAATAATAATGTCAGTGATACAAATATTTTGAAAATATAACGATATAATATGTTATGTAATATATTACAATCTCAAATTTAATGTGCACTCTAAAGACGGAGATGGAGCAAAGGTTGAACTTTGTTGCATTAGTTTTGTCAATGGAATAGTAAGAGGCCTATTTAGAGTCTATTCAAACAAAGAGACTTGCATAGCTACATAATTACATGCGCAAAGAAAATTATCCGATCGCAATTTACGTGTATTTTTAGAACAGAAATGCGATTGGATAATTTTCTTTGTGCATAGCGGAAAGAAGCCTGAGGCTTGTTTTACAATACGTCGCATGTCGATGTCACGATGCGATAAGAATTGACCAATCACAGACAGTGGGGAGAATATGTGCTTGTGATTGGCCCATTCTTACAGCCCACGGCCCACGACAGATGGCAAATGACGCATTGTAGAGCAGGCCTGAAAACGGCCAAGGTCGCGATTTAATTGTTACTTTATTTTAATGCGCCTCTATGTCCATGAAAGGTAAATATTAAATATTAAACTACGTAGCCGATATCCCTAAATTTTCTCAGTGAGTGTTAATAATATCGGATGGATTCCGTTAGCGCACAGTACGATAGCACACATCCACACACGCCGCTGCTTAGGAATTTTCCAATGGACCACCAATCAGAAAATTTTATATTTAATTGGTTAATCAGCGTTGTGTGCTATCGGATCTCTCTCATAATATCTATGATGTGCTAACGGGACCCACTCGATTCCTATTCCTGTTCCTTTAGTCCCAGTCTATAATAAGTGATTTAAGCCTTAAGCTATAAAAAATTTACCAATCATAGTCGATTATTTTCCTATTTCACTATGACTAGTCCATTTCTTATGGCTTAAGGCTTAAATCACCTATTGTAGACCGGGACTTAAGATTGGTTTATGTAAGCCGTAATCTGTAACGTATGCAGTAACCGTAAAAAATTGACGAATCATGGATTATTTTTCTATAATTCGATTGCGATTGGTCAATTTTTGACGGTTTTGACGGCATAAATTAATAGATCCCATAAGTATCGGTTCACAATAGGTGATTTAAGCTTTAAGACGTAAGAAATTGACCAATTATAATCTAATATGAAAAGAATAATCGACTATGATTGGTCAATTTTTTACGGCTTAAAGATTAAATACTTATTGTGGACCGACACTAATAGATCTCCATAAACCAACCTTTATTGTACGTAGGGCCTTATGGCTCTCGCAGACTGAATGCGACGAACGATGAGCGATGTCTAATGAGAGTTTTGCTTTTGGATGTGACGTTTGAAAGAGCAAAGCTCTCATTGGATATCGCTCATCGCTCGTCGCGTTTATTGTACGAGAGCTATTAGCGTTGATAGCGTCCCATAGCAAACCCCCCGAACGCACGCGAGATTTCTCCATTTGGCATTTGGCATCACTGATGATCTCTGATAAGGATCAATCTCTTTTCTCCTGCCTGTGTATGATGCTTGATTTCCCATTTACCGCATGGTACATAACGTAAAATGGTGTATTTTGTGTAAATACAGTTTCTTTTTATTATTAACGTAAAATGCGTTAAACAACGATTTTGAAAAAACATCGTGAAAAAGTATATCTCTTAATAAATTGTGAGTAATGTATCAAACGTATTGACGTCTGCTGGCATCTCATTTATTTTAGGTTACAGCATTTAAGCTAAGTTATTGTTTCGACAATGATTGTTTTACGCAAATTTATCTCACGATAATGCGAAATGGTGCACTATTTCGCCGTCGAGTATTTAATCGAGTTTTTAATTTGTAAATTGACGGATATTATTCAATATTTTCGATTCATCACTATGGTTATATGTTTAATATATAGCGGACATTTTTAGAAAACTCATATCTATACTTTGCACATTTTGATCAACACTATATTGTGTAGCGTACATTTAGAAAAAATGAAACATAAAATTTGTAAATAAGAATCGAGTAATTATCGATGTTGTAAATCTTGTGTTTTATGTGAACGCACTACTTGTGTATATGCACTGTAATGTACGCTATAGTATTTACAATAATATTCGCATGATATATACGCCAGGTTTTATCATTTATCGATACATCTCCTCACTATCGTACTATTTCGCGATATGAAAATCTTCGTAAAGAGCGATATTTTTATTCTTTATCTCTGTGTTTTACAAGTTTTACATTTACAAGTGATATCGCGACGATATGTTTTAATAATATGCTTGTTTCACTTATTCTTTAAAGAGGTAAATCGATATGGCGGAACAGCAACCGACACCTCCTGGTTTTAAACACATGTCTTTGGATAAGATTATCGAAGCTATGACTGCAGACTTGGAAGGTTCGAGTGGTCATTACGTTCAATTTGGTGTTACTCCGCGGCAAGCTGCTTCTCACAGTTGGGGTGATTATGTACCTGGACAAACCAGACATCACGTCACCAGCCAATCTACGCATTCTAATCCTTCTGGAATACAACCTTTGACATCGATGACGACCTCGCTATATATGCAAGATATGTCGAATTACGATTCCACGACTACCGATTCGATATATACCTTTCCCCCACAGACAGTAAATCATCTAGGCATTAACGAGAATAACGATTTAATTGGCACCATTGATGTTGGAGGTGGAAACTATATTAATGTCATTTATGGAAATGCTTCTCAGATTATGGCTGAACAATGTCATCTTCCAAATATCGGACCTTATTCTAATCAAAATATGGTTGATCAGGAATATGGGCTTTTTAACAATCAACATATGACCGTACCATCCGAGTTGCCGAGTCAAAACTTTAATGGAAAACAGTTGATTGACAATCTGGTTGGAAATTGGGTGCCAAATCAATCTGGAACTTACAGTCCATTCGGCGGATCTCCCAATATCACTCCTGTACCGCAATCTGTACCAGATGTAAGAGAAAATGAGGAATTACCTCCTAGAAACATATCAGATTCTCAATACAAAAGACCAAGGATGGTAGCTGAAGTAAAACCTATGCGGCCTTCTTATTCGGACGTTTTAACAAAATCCGCGCCAACCCCGCCATCACCGTTAACAGTCCAACCCGTAAAGCCAAAAATGGAAGTAGCGGGCAAGAAAATTTCTAACAAGAATGTCAAAACTAAGAACAAATCCGCATTGTTGAAGAGACAAAACTCATCCGGTAGCGATGATCACAATTCTCCAAAGATACAAATGCCTAGAAAAGTTTTGGAAAAAAATTCTTCCAATCTACCAAGACGTTGGGTGTCGCTTGACAATCTTGGTTCGCAATCCGATTCTCGTCAGATAAATGCTTTCGACAGATCCGATCAATTTTGTCCGGAAAGAAGGAAACCTGATAAGAAACCATCTAAGAAAACGGAAAAGAACGAGACTCTCAACAACACCAAGATACAAAACATCAATCTTAAAATCACGGGAAATATTCCGAAACGTCCGATACAGATAAATAACAATTTAAATACGATCAATACGTCCAGCCAGACAGTTTCATCTGAAAAAATGGAAAAGAATCAACAGATTATTAACAAAGTCACAAAAGAGGATAAAAAGGCAGCGGTCAAGGATAAGAATCCTAAACGTTTTCAAGCCGAGAAAGCCCAGCAGCAAATCAAGAAGGGACAGAGAAATAGAAAAAGAGAGAATAAAGAATCTTCTATTAAGGATTTATATAAAAATTTGAATAAATACGCAACCCGTTGGAGTAAAATTCTATTGAAAGTTTTTTATTGGCTGTTACATTTAATCTCTGATGTAATTAGCATGAGCGCCAACTTGGTTATTCAGCTGTGAGTATCGAAAAACTGATTTGACTTAAATATTCGCATGAAATACGACATCGCTACTTTGCATCGACTATATGAATTCATTGTTTAAAGTAACTTTAATTTTTTTTTTTTTTAACATTTTTCAGTGGTAAATGCGCTTGGTATCATACCATACTTTATTTGAAGAATTGGTGGATGTACGTGGCTGTGACATTTTGTAAAATTCGTGTTTTAAACGCTATTGGTAGACAATTAGACGATTGGCTCGGTAGTAGCAAGTTTGCGTTTTGGAGGAAGATAAACGCTAAGAAGAATGAGGAAAGAGAAGACAGCGGCAATTGGATTCACAGTGGACTAGAGACCAATATCGCGTTACCCAGCACTGGCGAAGAAGCCATGAAAAGATTATTGGCATGCAAGGGAAAGGATCCTTACAGTATACTCGGTGTTACGCCAACATGTTCGGATGATGATATAAAGAAATATTATAAGAGGCAAGCCTTTCTAGTGCATCCGGATAAAAATAATCAGCCGGGAGCTGAGGAAGCATTCAAAATACTGGTACATGCCTTCGATATCATTGGAGAACCGGTAATAAAGCATTCATCATGCTTGTAATTTTCTCATGACGGTACAAGATGACGAAAATTAGTGACAACTTGAATCCATAAGGTTACAGAACTCATCTATTTATCGGTATTACGTATCGTTTTAGGAACGTAGACAAGCGTTTGACCAGACCAGACAAGTCGAAGCGGCTTGGGGTGAGTTAAGCGACTTGTTGTCTCAACTTCATCGAAAGATGGAACAGGCAGCGAATACGATAAGATGTACAAATTGTGGCTTGAGACACAAACGTATTCCTACGCAACGTCCTTGTTATGCCGCACGATTTTGCAATCAATGCAAAATACGTCATAGCGCGAAAGAAGCGAGTATCGAATTTATTCCTATACGATTATGGGTTTGTTCGTTCTACATTTCTTCCTAAACTGTCCGCTCCCCGATTATTTGTCCAGGGTGATATCTGGGCAGAGTCTCGTTTAATGGGTTTTCTATGGCACTATTACGCGTGCATGGAAGGAGCGGTATATGATGTAACTGACTGGGCGGCTTGCCAAGCTGGGAATCTCAAACATCTTAGAGCGAATACGCATAGTGTCCAATATAGAATCGTCTTAGGGCAAAGATTACCATCTCAAACGTCCAGTAGCGGTAAAAAGCGGCAACAGATAGATCCCAATACAAGGTATGCATCATCATGATTATTATTTTTAACTTTATATTCTTAATTTTTTAACTCCGACTCGACATTTTATTCGATAAGCCCTTCTTCGATAAAGATATCTGGAATATGAATATCTTCTTCTTTACAAAACAGCGAAGCAGATTTCGAGGATTTCCTAAATAATCTCTACAATCATAGCAAATCTGCTGGCGTTAATACATCGGGGGATCAAAATTCTTTTAGAGGTGATAGCAGACGACGTAAAACTAAACGTAAGAAGTAGATGAACAACAGCGATAAAAATTGCTTTTGACATCGACGTTGTATAGTTATGAAGGGCGCGTACGTTAGAACGCATATACGCAATTTTAAATTTACATTATCCTTAAACAAATAATCTTAGCATATAGATATTACAAATATTCATGAAGCTAATATTTGACTGACACATACAAAATGAGATTATTATAAATGAGAGATGTTGTGTTCACGACGAATGCGTATCTATATTAAACATCGTGTTATATCGGATAAACTCGTATATCTTCGTTAAAAAAAAAATTCACCTATGATAAGAAAATACTATCGACATCTCGAGAGAATAGAAACACTACAAACACAAAAAAAGGTTTAAAGTTATTAAAAAAATATTTTAACTCTTCAAAATTATAAATAGAGATGCCAAAAAGGAAAATATTACAGAAACAAAAACTATATTATGCGTCGCAAAGCTATAGTCAAACATAAAACTTTTTATATATACGTTTTTAAATAACCAGTATGCTGTAACCTTACGTTCTTCCAGAATTAAAACAATAGTATAGTATTGTACAAATTATGCGAAACGGATAAGTTATTTTACTCTTTTTCTTTTTTTATATTAATTTCATACAGAAATACATCAGTATAAGTTGTGATTTCCAAAAAATTATGATTCACAGTTCAAATTCAAAATTGGCAAATATGAAGACTGATTTTCTCTCTTATTTTGTTACTTATACAAGTTAACATATATATATATATATATATATATATATATATATATATAT